AAGCAGTCGGGGCAGGGAGAATCAGAGAGAGATTAGGGACAAGGGGGGAGAGACTGTCAAGATGAGGTCAATGAGAGCCCTGTGGTCCCCTGAGGAGGGACAGCAGCCTGTCCCTGGGGTGGCAGGAAGTGCCACATCACATATCTGTTCTTGGCAGACAAAACAGGCCCCAGGGAGTGCCCTGAACCAAACCTGGACTGCCCAGCTGTAGTCTGCCTGCCAGCTTCTCTGCAGCCAGGTCTGCACCCTAGGGTCAAGTTCTCCAGAGCTGGGGCTTACCGTTTCCAAGCATGTGCTGGGAGAGGTGGGGAGGAGAGGAGAGGACGCGCCGTGGGTGGGAATGACCAGGCGCAACCCCAAGTCCCTCTTCAAGGACATGGCCGAAGGAGAAGAGTGGGCCGGTTCTGGGCCCAGGCCCTGGTTTCCAGCACTGTGCTTCCGCCTCTGCAGGCCCTGTCCCCTGTGCCAGAGTACAGCCTGACCAGCTCAGTCACCTGATGGCAGGACACCAGGGGTGGGCATGGGGCAGGAGAACTGGCATAGGGGAGGCCTGCAAGAGAGCCACCTCCTTGGGACTGGGTGGATCTGGGCAATTTCACCTCCCATAGTTCCCCCCAGATCCCCACTCTGTGTCTGTATATCTTACCCCAGTGATCCGGAGACGCAGCTGGGTCGGAGGCCTGGTCTCCAGGCTGGGTGCAGGTGTGTGGCCCTGCCGGAATACCAGCTCATCGCCCACTCCTCTGACACCTGCTCAGCCAGCCATCGCCACTGCTTCCAGGTTCCCACCCTGAGAGCAGCACAGGGGGCGGCCATGCCCATCAGTCTGCAGCCCAAGACTTCCCTGACTGACTTTCTCCCTTCCAGATGCTTCTCTGGCAACTTCCAGGTTATTCTAAAAGTTAACAATTCCCAAATAGTTCACATCTTCCCCATTTGCCAAGTTTGAGTCTACAGTCTGCCGAATTAAACTGTGGCTCAGTTGCACAGCAATCTAACTGGTCTGGTGCACGAGACCTCATCGCCCATTACCATGAGCATTTGGAAGCGAGGTAATTACAGGCTGCATTCCTGAAGCCCGAGGCTGCACGGCTGCCATGCTGGAGTTGATTATAATAATGGCTCCGGGGAGCGGTCCCAGGGACTCCATTTCTACCCTGTTCCAATCGGCAGTGAAGAGCCTCATGGGAAGGGACTGGGACGACAGGCTCAAGCCCAGCCACCCCCAGGAGGAAGCCCTAGCCAAAGCCACCTGTTCCCTCCTGAGGAGCTGCGAGTGAAGCCGCCCATGGACAGAGAAGGTTCTTTCCATGTCTTCTGTGCAGAGAAGCCAATTCCCACAGCTCGTCGTGATTCAAAACAGAACCAAGTCTTCCCTGCTCCAGCCTGAGCAGCAGTGAACTTCCCAGATGATGCCACCTGAAAAGCCCCTCCCAAGGAGACATCTGCTATCAGATGGTAATAAGATGATTAGGTCGGGGTGAAGGAGCAGAGTGAATTACTTCAACTTTCAGAATTGCAGCCTGAGATGAAGCATTCGACTCCTGAGTGAAGTGTAGGAGTAGACTCTGTAAAGAAAAAGAAGAAATAATCCACACACCCTTTGCTCAGTTCAACCATGACCTAATAATTTAGTTCACTAATCAATAAATGATTTGTTGATCAAGTCACTGGGTGGCTCATTAGATAGGACAGGCAAATTCTGCCACTATTTCTTTTGGATAGAGCAAGCCAATGTTAACCCCTCTACCTGGCCCCATCCCTAAGTATGAGCAACCACAGCAGCCTCGCTGCTCAGGTATGATGGTGAGTGGTGAGTTTAGACCTCAGAAGGTCTCCCCAAAGCCTCATGTGCTCAGAGGTGGGGTTTTAGAAAGTGATTGGATCATGCGGGTGCTAAGCTCATCAGCAGATGAATCCACAGCTGAATGCGCTGTTAGGAGGTGGGGCTGGTCAGAAGAGGTGGGCACTGGGGCGTGACCTGGAAGGGCAGCTCTCCCTCCATGGTTCCATCCTCCACTCTCTGCTTCCTGCCTGCCGTGATGGGAGCAGCTTCCCCCACCAGCCCTTCCGCCATGCTCTTCCTGTCTTAGAGCCAGTATGGGCTGAATCCTCTAAAACCAAGAATCAAAATAAACCTCTCCTCCTTTAAATCGTGGGTGTTGGGTGTTTTGTCCCAGCAACAAGGAAAGTGACCAAGACAAGCCCTAAGTGACCAAGCTGTCCTCACGTTTTCCTAGCTATGACAAATCCATGCTTTTTCAAGAGCAGCTACCTTGACTCCCATTCCTACTTCCAATTACCCACCTAAGCCCTGGCCAGTCTTGGAAGATCTTTTAAAGGTTTTACTGTCACTGCCCTCTGTGTTAGCTTCCTATAGTTGGCATAGCAAATGACCACAAACCAGGGGGCTTAAAATGATAGAAATGTATTCTGTCCATTGCAGGAGGCCGGAAGGATGAAATCAGGATACAGCAGCTTTTGTCCATCCTGAAGTCTCTGAGAAAGAGTCTGTTGCAGGCTTCTCTTCTGGCTGCTGGTGGTTGCCAGCCAGCCTTGGTTCTCCTTGGCCGGGAGATGTATCCCTCCAATCTGCCTCCATCTTTTGCCTCCTTCCATATGTCTCTCTGTACTTTTGTGTCCCTTATAAGGACACTCTGCTGGATTCAGGGCCTATTCTTATCCAGTATGTTCTCATTTTGATCCTTATTCTAATTATATCTACGAAAATCCTATTTCCAAACAAGGTCAGTTCTGAGGTTTCAGGTGCACTTGAATATTGGGTGGACATCAATCAACCACTCCTCTTTCCTAGAGTCAAACTACAAGAGGAGAGCTTGGTGCCATCTTAACATGAGGTAGGTAACTGTCGAGTGTGAGAGCCTGGGGTTAGCCGGTCAGACTGAAGGCTCCCATCTCTGCTCAGCTAATGTTCCCCATCTCACCCACATACGGGTTGCTGCAGAGCATGGATGCCAGAGTGTTGGAGGTGTCATTAGGCCTGCCTCAGTCTCCACATCAAGACCTGAATGGGGAAAGCCAACCAGAGAAGACAGACCTCCCTTGCTTTAATCCTCAAAACCAGCTTGGCCAACACCACTTTTGGCTTCTCCTCTGCTCTCCAAAGTATTCCACCAAGGTAGACTCTGACCCTGAACACTCACTCCCAGCTGTCTTTGTGAGGCACATGGTGACAGCCTCCAAGATGGCCCCAGGGGTTCTGCCTGAAAGAAGCATGACTTTGAAAGCTAGGTCATAAAGGACATTGCCCCGTCTGCTATGACCCTCTTGGCTTTCGGGGAAGTGGCTGCCACATCAGAGGGACGTACAAGTAGCTCACTGACAGATCCCATGTGGACAGGGATTGATGGCTTCTGCTAGTGACCAGGTGACACCTGAGGGCCCTGAAGGTAAACTATCAGTGGTGGCTTCCCTTGATCCAGCCTTCAGGGTCTCGGTCCCAGCCAATAACAATGACAGGAACAAAGCAGCTAGCAGAGCCATTCCAAACCCCTGACTCCTAGAAATAGGATGAGACTAAAGAGTTGGTGCTGTTTTAAGCCACTGAGTTTGGGGTATCTGTTACGCCTCAGGAGGTAAGAACACATATCCAGTCATCTTCTCATTCACTCGACAAATATTCACACAATAAAAACATGAGATAAACACTCTTAAAATAACTTTTTTAAAAATTAACATGGTCTCAGGTCTACCCCTCTGCCCACCCAGGAGGCTCTCAGGGCTAATGGTCAATGGTAGCTGCCGTTCTGTGCCTCCTCTGAAAATAAGTGGGAAGGTCAATATGAGCAAGAAGATTTCTAGACACCCACAAAAGACGCCAGGAAGCCAATGCAGCAGACTGTGCCAATGTGCAGACCATCAACTCGCCAAGCCCTTTGCCTTCCCCTGAAGAGAGCTGTCTCACTCTCACTCTATGCCCATTGGCATGGGGCCCAGGGCCAACTGGGGCCCAGGATGCCCCAGGTGTAGTCTGAACTGGGTTTGACCTTCCTGCAGCATTGCCCCCACGTGCCCAGCCTCCACTCCCAGGCCTGCTGATGCACCTATTTCTAATGGTTCAGCTCCCAGGAGTCATCGGAGCCTTGCGCGTCACCAGCTTCAGTGATGAATAACGTGCTAACCCATCCAGCATTGCCGGGTCAATCCCTCCCAGCAGTGGGTACCCAGCTGTACCAATGTCTGTGCCACCTCCCTCTCTGCTCAAGGGTGAACCTGGCTAAGCTTGGCGAGTCTGGAGAAGCCCAGAGGCCCCTGTCCCGACCCTACCTCCTCCATCCTGGCCAGTCTGAGCTCCATGGAGGCCTAAAGCAATCCAAGGTGTGATAAAACAGCATGGCGAATGTTTAAATTTTTAAAAATTACAGTTAAAGGCACATTGTCACTAATTGCCCTCAAAATACTTCCCTTCCTTCACTTCGTCGCAATTAGCCAATGGTTCTGACCACTTTCTGAAGCAATTCTGGAAGCCCTCTTTTGTAAGTGTTGTTAGTGGCGATGGCATGGCTGCCTGCCTCTGTGTCATAAATCCATTCAAAACTTTTCCCTTTCCTGCTCGTCTTGACTTCGGGGAAGCCCAGACAGAAATCACACAGTGCCCGATCCAGTGGATGGGGGATGGGGACACAGCAGTCTGTTTTTATGTGCTAGAAACTGCCATACAGTTGACCAATGAAGATGATCATAAAATACAGTGAAAGTTTAAAATTTAAAAAAATTATAGTAAAAGACACATTAATCCCCCTCAAAACACTGAAAATCCCCCACCCAAAATACTCAAAATTCTCCCCCTTGCTCTGAACACACTCATCCGATTGTTCTTCGCCATGTGTCCTTCAATGTAATAAGCTTGATTTTCATTTAAACCCCTACCGTATCTTTCCATCACCCCTTGCATTTCTAATGATCTCTCTGGAACTGTAAGCCAAAGCCCAGCGGCGGCCCCGCACCCCATCCCCCCACCCCCCTCGGTGACACAAAAGCTGAGGGTCGTCCGTCCTCCCCCGAGGGGCCCGTAGCAACCCAGAGATCTTCTCCTCCTGCTCTTCCCTCCGCTCTGCAGGTCCGGGCTCACGTCTGCGGTGGCTTTGTGCTCCTTCCTCTCTGCCGTCCGCCTGCCACTCTCCTGGGCCCCCTTGAAATCTAGACACCCTCACCGTCACATGTCAGGGCTGGAGAGCTGAGCTCAGGTAAACGAGGGGTTGGGAAAGAGATCGAGGGACGACAGCAATCAAGAGGAGGAGAGAGAGAGAGGGCGCGTGCTCGGACCGTTGTCACTCCCCCTCATTTATCTGGCTGATCCCAGTCCTGTCGTCCTCCAGGGGGACTTCACAGATGAAGGACAAGCCTTTCGCACGACGCCCTGACATCTCTTGACCTGCTCCGTTCCACTGCCTCTGACTCGTGCGAGTCCTCACCGACCTGTCACCCTGTAAGGCTGCAGTCCCCAGCGCTGAGCGAGGCCTCCCCTCTTTACTTCTCCATTTGCCTCTAATTATTTTTTAATTGCATCGACACTTTCCGTCCATGACAAGTCAATGTCTCTCCATCTATCCGCTCGCTCCTGGCGTCACATCCATCCTTCCCTGAGACCTGGCGGCCCCTCCCTTGCCTTGGTGGTGGCTTCTCTGGGGACCACAGGTCCTCTCTCCTCTCCTCAAATCTCTCCCTCTCTGCTCTTCTCTCCCATCAGATGGATCCTGCGTGTGTTCAAGTATCTCCTGTCTTAAAAACAAACACATTTCTCCAGAGAGACTTTCAGCCCTACCCGGAAATCAGTCCTCCTCGGGGCCCCAGATCACCAACGTGACTCCTCCGCCGTCACCTGTGTGACCCTGCAGTGTAACACAACCTCACCTCTCCGCTTCCTCCACTGCACTGCAAGCTCCTCAAAGGCAAGACCATAACTAAAGGCAATATTATGTTTCCACAGTTTCTAGAACACAGCAGACACTGAATGATATTTTCTGCAATGAACATTAAATGTGCAGATCTATTGTCTCAGTATATGCAATGGTCTGGACGTGGTTTAAGAATTTCCTGTAAAGACTGCTGTGTGGGAAGCTTGGTTCTCAGTGCGCTGATGTAGGGAAGTGGGCCCTTTAAAAGGTGGAACCCAGTGGGCCGTCCTAAAGTCCATGGGAGTGTGTCCTCCGGGAGAATGATAGGACCCTCCTCTCTCTATAGCTTCCTGTTTTGTAAGGATTTCCTGTTCCTGTCTATGCTTCCACGGCAACCTTACTAGACCCTCACCAGAGGCTAGAAACGACATTGCCTGGTCTCTGACTTTCAGCCTACAAAACAATGAGCTACTTTTCTTTATAAAGTTAGCCTGCCTCCACGATTCATTAGAGTAATGAAAATAGACTAAGAGACTATGGCTATGAATTCTTTAGGGCTATGTGCACCCTCTACGTTTCCTAGACACACAGCCCCTGTAATACAGAGCATAGATTAAACATGTCAGGCATAAAGAGATTGGACAGAAATGGAGAAAAGCAGCCATTCAAGGGCTTCTGTCATTCAGCTTTCTGCATGATCCCAAATCTCAATTTGAAGTTCAATTCCTTTCTTACCCAAGTCCACATACCATTTGTTTCTCCTTTCCTTTCAACTAAGTTGAATAAGAAACACACTTTCAAAGATGCCTGAATGTGTCTCATGCCTTTTTGCCCCAGGACAGTCTCTACAGCCCCTCCACTCAAAGGCAAGTTGTCAGTCAAGTTCAGTTTAAGTGGCACCTCTGTGAAGGCTCACCTACCCCCCCTCCTTGCAAATGTCACTCCTTCCTAGTACCCCTTACTTTGCTCAGACTCTGGCTTGGCCCCCCAACTCTGTGCATTGGTCAGCTGTGTGACCTTCTACAGGAAGAAAGCAAGACTCCCTTTGTGAGGCAGTGATAGACATTCAGTGTTAGATAAATATTAAAATAACCCATTTGAACATTGTATTAGTCAGCTTCTCTTTGCTGGGACAAAATACCCGACATTCACAACTTAAAGGAGGAAAGGTTTATTTTAGCTCAAGGTTTCAGAGGTTTCAGTCCATGGTTGGTTGGCCCCAAGGCAGAAACCTCATGGTGGAAGAGCATAGTGGAGGAAAACTGCTCACTTCATGCAGCCCAGAAGAGTGAGTTAAAAAAAACCCAGAAAGGAAGGGACCAGGGACCAGGAACCAGATATAGTCTTCAAGGACACATTTCCATGACCGACCCAGACACACCTACCTGTGTGCTTTCCTGATCTCCTAGCTCTCTTGAGCCAATCAAGTTGACAGTCAAGATTAACTGTAACAAACCTACTCCTCTGTCCTAGCTCCCTCTGCTCTCTGCCTCTTCAGCCTGCTCCAGAAGGTTTCTGTCTGAGGAAGGACAAGTTCATCTGTGAAGCAAGCAAAGACCTCCTCAGTGAAAGGACAAGAGGCATGAGGAGATATGGCAACAGGAGACAATGGGATGTGACACTTCTGACTGAAATGTAAGTCCCTTGGCAGAAAAGGCCACCCTAGGTTCACATTTGATTAAATAGCTGGGCTCCGTGATGGAGCTGAATTGACATACAGAACTAACCAACCCACCATGGCAGGACATGAGGTGAGCAATGGAAACATCCATAAGGACTCGGGGGTGTGCCACCAGCCTTGTCTCCCCAACGAAGGGGTGTGAGGTCCTGCATCTTGGTTGGTTACACAAGGGTACCTATCTCTCCTGGTAAACGGACTACAACGTGTGATTTTAATTTTCAACTCTCCACTAACCAGTTTTCACCCAGCAATATTGTGGCTAGATTTGGAGAAGATTAGCAAACTTTAAAAAGAGTCTAGCAGGTTCTCAAATTATATGGACAGAAGAGTGAATGCCTTGGTGTCTCCTCACACTGAAAAGGGTAAAACATGCAGATTCAGGTCATTGATGGAACTTGCAGGTCTGCAGCTTTGGGGTTTATTCACTCAAATTTTATTAAGCACCCCCTAGGTGCTAGGCACTGCTCTAAGGGCCGAGAGGGAGTTTCAGGCATAATACATTGCCTGTGTGGCCCACAGGATTCATATTCGTCTTGCAGAATCAGACTCACCACTACAAGGCAAGAAGCTTCATTCTTAGAAGGACTGTCCACAAGGAAGACTCCAAAGCACTACTACAAAGGATGCACTTGAAAGGAGTAATATTCAATGGGCAACACTTTGAGATTTTGCCATAATCACAAGCAGTCAGTCAAAGTGTCAAGGAGTATTTGTCAAACATCTTAAGATCTAAAATAAATAAAGTTCCCACGGTCTGCTTCTGTGCAAACCTGTTAAAGCCTGGACAGCAACAGTCCAACAATTCCATGTTGTTCTAAGGCCCTCAAGGTCACGGCCTGGCTTCTGCTGAGTCTCATCATTTCTGTCCCTTGCTTCTTAGTCCTTAGTGCAGAAGGGAAAGAGGAAACCACTGTGATCCCCTTTGACCCATGTCTCGGGAATTCCCGGTACTCAGCTCCAAGGAATCCTGCCTGTCTTTGCCTGCTCCTTTCCCTTCCCCTCATCTCTCTTTCTCCCTCAATCGCTAACTCTCCGTCTCAGTCTGTATCTTGCTCTGATGTGTGTGTACACCCAAGTACATGTGCACACACACAGGCACACACATACACAAACACACACACAAGAAACCTATGTCCTCGAAGGCTGGCCAGGGTGAGGAGCCCAAGACGCTGTCATGGACTCAAGCACTGACCCCTGGAGGGACAGAGGAGCCCCCATAGGATGCCGGGCCTCCATGTGGGACTCAGGGTTGGGTCCCTGCTCCTTCCTCCTCTCTGGGGAGAGTAGAGGACCCTCGGCCTCCAGAGGGCCAAGCCACACTTGGCGTAAACAAATCTGAGTTAAAGTCTCGGCTTTCTGTGACTTTGGGGAATTTCAGATCATCAAGTGTCACTTTGGCCACTTGTAAAGCAAGAACAATCACCCCTTCTCAGAATGGCAGAGGACGGAGTGTGACAGTGTAGGAGACCCTCGGACCAGTCCAAGGACTGCAGAGAGCAGGGCTGCCGTAGAGCACCACTGAGTCACCACGTGGCCAGGGTACTGGGTGCTGTGCAAAGGGCCATCCACACAGGGCTGCAGGGGTAGCTGCTGCTGCTCACCGAGACCCCATCCGTCCCCTGGGAGGCCTGTGCTTACCCAGCAAGCCTGGCTGGGATCGACCTCTGACACTCGAGCCCCAGCTGTGGACCCCTCACCCACCTGTCCCCTCACCTCCTGGGGAAGACAGAGGCCACTTAGCAAGGTCCCACTGACTGCGGGCCATGTGCTCATAGATCCTCTCACTTCTATCAAGATCATTTTTAATGCAAATGTATAAAAGAACGTGAGCAAATAAAAAATCGACCCAACAGCCCTTTGTCCATCTCTGTCATCTAACTACAGGTTTAGCTTTCAGGACCATACTCATAAGCAGGGCCTCTGAGCACCCCACCAGTCCTCCAACGTTCTTGCTGCACCCCTCGTAAAAATTCTAAGCCAGACATAGTGACGCACACCTATGATCCCAGCACTCTGGGAGGCTGAGACAGGAGGATCTTAAATTTGGGCCCAGCCTGGGAAACTTAGCAAGATACCATTTAGAATGTTTAAAAATTAAAAGAACTGGGGATATAGTTCAATAAACAGGCCTTGGATTCAATCCCTAAAAAGTTTTTAGGATTCAATCCACTAAAAAAATATTTTTTGCAGGAGGGTCACACACAAGCCAACCCCAGGAGGAGCCCTTGGAAATTCACCAGCCCCATCCCCTCGCAGGACAGGGCAGCTCCTGCTTTCCAGGCTGTGTGCGGCGACCCCAGGGAGCCTCCTCACCCTGCGGCTCACATTCGAGCAGGGCCCCCTGGACGAGCGCCAGCCCCAGCAGGTGACAGGTGACCCTGACCCTCCCTGGGCGGGGTCGCTGCTCCCACACCCTGGCTCCCTCTCTGTCCCCACCCGCGTCTGACAGACACTGGCTCCTTGGCCCCTCAGTCTGCCGGCCACACGCCCTGCTGGGAGAGCGGAGATGGGGTGACAGACGCTGGATGGCCACTCTGCAGGACCCGGCGGGACCCCAGCCTCACTCCTCCTCGTTCTTGTCAAACACTCTTCCGAGGAACCAGATTGCTGCTGCTACTGCTGCCGCCGAAATTAATGGAATCTGGCAGGAAAACCTTTTGTTTTTCCAATCCTGGATTTTGCCAAGCAAACACAGGGATCTTGTGGAAAATGGCTGCAGTGAAGGAGTGGGCTCTGGTGACACGGGACGAACGGCCACCCTCGCCACAGAAGCACACGCCGAATCCTCTCAGGGCCTGAGAAGCTGGCAATTGCTTTTTTTAATGCAACTAAAATGTTAAACAGGAAGCCTTTCAGGATCCCTGCCATGGACAGCAACCAAGTGCCAATTTCCCTTTCCTCTCGAGCAGCAGCAGCTCCAATCCGACATTTTGTGGCTTGGAGATACTGCTTACAGGTCCAGAAAAACTGAGCCTGAAAACCTGGAGAAAATCCTGTTGCCTCGAGAAAGATTTTGTCTTCCACATCCCAAGACCCATCAAGCTGGCCCGAGGTGCCGGTGCCCAGACAGTAGCCCTCGGCTCTGAAAGGGTAGATGGACGGACACAAACATGGGCTGCGTCAAAAGCGCTAATTTATCTCCCAGGTGAAAAAAAGAAGCCATTTTCCACACACCTTGAATGGGCCAAACCCACCCGATCTCCTCCCCCAGTTTCATCCACAAACAGGGCTGAAAGAGAGCTTGGGTTTCGGCCGTGACTTGAAAGGCAGTGTTTGTGTCTCCACCCACTCGCCACTGGCTGTCCTCACCCCATTGTTTTAGGGCAGAGAGAGTGGGAATCTGCAGGGTCCCCCTACTAGGGAGGCTTTTGTTCAAACAGAAACTTTGCCTGGCCTTAAAAGGAACTGAATTGCACCGAGTCACTTGAGAAGAAGAGGAGAAGCCGGGGAAAGGGAAATGGGAGATCCTCATGCCAGGCCGGGCACCAGCCACATCCCAAGTGGCTTTGGGCATGTGTTTTCCATTTCCACCCTCCCTGATGACCCCAACCCTCACGATCTCAGGTTCCTCTAAACTCCTAAGCACAGTGCCCAGGCCACCTACCCTCGCCAGCCTTGGCAGCTCAGGAAGAGTCTCCAAGAGGGTGACCAGGAGGATGTTCCTCTTCAGTCCCAGTAGCAGGGACTCAACACAAGTCCATGGAATGAAGGAAGGAAGGGAAGAAGAAGGGAGAGAGGGAGGAAAGATGAAGAGGTGACAGCACCCATTTATCAGTAAAGTCACAATAACCACACACTCACTGAGCACGGCTGGGGGAATGTGATCCAGGAGACCGGTGCACTCTCAGAGAATTTGCTGAAGTCTAATGTGGGAAGCATTTTAAAGAGTGGGCAAGGCAGAGGAAATCACAAGGTGCCCATGCAATACTCAGTGCTGGTCACAGAGGGACTGTTACCTCCGGAGGCATGAGGGAGAGGGGAGACAGTGGCTGCAAGAAAAGAGGCAGAGAGAGCCAGAGGAAAATGTCCCTGATTGCACCCTCCTCCCCAAACACTAGCATTTTACCCACACTATTCCCCCTGCTGTTGGAGAGAGCAGAATTGCAAAGGGTGGCCAGAAAACCCGGGGGCAAACAGAAGATACTCAAGGTTTTTTTGAATTTACATTTTTAAAACTACTTTTAATTTTCAAAATGTATTTAATGACCCTCAGATCCGTTCTGGAACACAGAATGACCCCCCAAGCCCCTTCTCTTCTTTTCTAACATGGAGACTGCGAACTCTGGATAAGGACAGAGCTCTCGATGCTTCCTTGGGAAGAAATCACAGCCATAGATTCACTGGTGACTCCACAGAACTTAGGGTCTCCTCCTCCCGCCCAACCTGGAACCTCAATACCTGAGAAAAATGAGGTCCTCAGTTCCCCTCATCGTTCCCAGTGTCACCCCAAGATCGTAAGGATCTTCTGTATTCTAAATGGGGTGTTGGACTCTGTGATCGATGAGCTAGGGGAGCTGGCACGGCCCAAGACAGAGGCTGATTTTGTCCGAGAGCTCGAAGGGAAGGTCTGGGCCTCATCTCCGGGGACTCAGTAGCCTCTAGGGCGAGGTCCTGACCAGCAGCTCTGTCAGCATTGCCCTGGAACCTTTCTCTCCTCGGGCTCTGAGATAATCCGCACTGCAAGGGGACAGGACTCCAAACCACACAGCTCCCAGGGCACTGCGGACAGGGGAGCTGGCAGTAGACCAACTTGTCTTTAATTCTGGCATCACCACTTGGCTGGCATTTGATTTTGAGCAAAACTCCTGGCCCCTGTGTACCTCAGTCTTCAAACTGAAAAGATGAGTCTGGGGCCGTCCCCTTGGGCCGGTGTGAACACCTCAAAGATAATCCGTGTGAATGTCCCAACCACAGTACCTTCTGTGCAGCAGGTGCTCGAGAAAGGAGAGCCACT